CGGGGTCCAAATATGCTAAAAATTGCTATTCGAAAGAGTTCCAATTACGCTTTAAGAAATTAATTTCCATTCGCGGTTGCTGCCCTGGGATTTAAAGTTAATGAATTCGGATTTCATGTTTGGGGTCGAGATGTCGTTTCGACTAGATCAGTTACTTAAGTGATTGATTGATCTTCTTTCACACCACCATCGATCCATGCTAGAGTATCGAACATAGTATCGGCCGATTAAGCTGAGAACGATGCCCGGAAAGCGAGGTAGAAATAGACGTCATGACGATTTATGAACTTTCAGCAGGTAAAATGTAAAAGGAACGGAAATCTTGCTTCTTCTAGACTTAACCTCTAGAATTAGCATTTCCAAATATTATTCCCGGTTTGAAAAAGGAGGTAGAAAGGTCTCGAAAACTGAACTAGTAATGCAACAAAGCCACACTATGTTAATAGTTAATATGTTAATTATCGCATTTATTATTACCAAATCAAGTAGACTGTGGAAGGTCGAACGGCAAAAATCCCCACACCCAAGACAAGTGATCTCGTTTTCCATATTCGAGGAATTTCAATGCACAAGAACGACGATAGAACACGAAGTGGTGATGTAGGCTAAGGTACAGGCAACATGGTTCAAATGGAGTTACATGGGTGAAACTTAGATGACATATTTCAAGATATGGAAAGCTGCCTGCCATAGCCGCCGTTGAAGCGAATCAAAGTTCAGAGCTGAAATCAAGCAGTTGATGGAAGAACACACAGCCAAAAAATACGCATGCTGATAAGACAAGTTGGATTCATGGATTTTAATAAGCATGACGGACACGGAGATTAAGGGAATGATGCGATAAGGTGATTAAAACTGAACCAGCTTGATAAAGTCTTGCGAGACGGGGATTTTTCGCCTTACTTGAAGTTTGTGCGTCTGGTCGTCATATGACTCGTATTCACATACAGGTTTGTAGATTTGAGTATGGAATATAGGCAAAAACGAAGAATATACAGACATAGTTCAGGGTATCACGTGATACAAACACTGTAGCACACATTGGTACGCTTTCAGTGCGTTAATTGGATTAATCATTTAACTAACTCCTCCAAGACCAGATTACTTTAAGCAGCATTATGTAATGAGAACCAGCTCTATGATAAGCATGAGGTTATCCTAAGGAACAGAAAAATGCGAGATGCAACTAGCACTACAGGAACTCATACACCATACGGTGGGGTCTGCTTAAATGCCCCGGACAACCAGGATCGTGGTGAAATACGCCATGAAATCTGGATGTGAGGACGCTACCCGTCATTTGACGTACTCCAGCTCACGGGCATACTTTAACTTTAATGAAGTAGCATATAAGGATTATCAGCATCTAGAAGAACGCGGTTGACCTCGACAACAAAACAATGCGATATGCG